CTGATAGAGTTTGAAGGGGCACGCACGTTGCTTTTTTCACAGTGCAATCTGCCCTTGGGGAAGTTTGATTTATTATTGACTGTATTACCTTTGGATCAAGTTGACAGAGTCTTTGTGGTTGTTACTTTTAGTGTAGCAATTCTAAAGCGGGGTCCAGCACCCCAAATGTTGCTGGACTACAACTCCAGTGATCCCTAATCACTTGTTATGCTGGCTGAAGCTGAAAGGAGTTGGAGTCAAACAGCAGCTGGAGGGTCACGGGTTCCCCACTCCTGTTCTAAAGCAGCAGTGAAGGAACATCAAGGTTAAGGATATGCAAAAGATGCTGGACTCCTCAGCGAGTTATGGGTAGACAGAGTGCCAGCCTAAATCCTCCATCTTCTTCCAGATTTTGATGGAACTTGGAGCTTTCCATGGTGCTGCAGTCTCTGGTCTGCCTTTCCTTATGGGTCCCTTCTGTAGACAGCTCAGAACAACAGCATTTAATTCAGCTTTTAAAACAGCAGTCCTATGCATGGTTACCTTAGCTCTGTTTATTGAAGTGAGAAGTACTTCAAATACAATACACACAGGATTTGACTGCACAACTATATTGGTAATTCTATCCAAAGCACCAACGATCTCATAAATTATATACTTGTGGGTCCTGTCTCTCTTCATTTTCAGTTTCATGAATAAGCTAGATGAGAAAGTGCTACATCATAATGCATACTGCACCCACTCTTTCTTAAAGAAAAAAGAGTGGTTAGAGGGGAAAAAAAAGTAAAGAAAAAAGAGTGGTTAGTGCAATTTGGGATAAAAAACAACAGCCTTCAGATTTATTGTATAGCTATTTCTGGATCTTTACAATTGCTGCTAGATGCTGTAATTTTAGTTACATGCACAAAATTCAGCATTATATAGGCCAGAGGTGGGGAGCCTTTTTCAGCCTGATGGATGCATTTCCATGTGGGCAGGCCCTCGGGGCAGCATTCTAGAAGTGTATGAGGACCAGAGGCCAAAGTGAGTGGGACGGGAACTGATGCTCATACTTTTGTTGAGTAGTGCACATACATTACATCAATATAGCACCCATTTGTCATTCAAAACTTAAATGGATGTGGTGGGATTGTTGGGGTTTTGCCCCCCCTGAATTTTCTCCTGCAACTCCTGCCTCACACCCAGAAATTGTGACTTAAAAAAAAAAAAATATTGACACTTAAGTTGCACTATCCAGACTGCAACAGAAAGGAAGCATCCTCTCGCTAGCCAAAATCAGAAGGCTTTATATACCCTTCGCACATCCGACACACAAACTCTATCAAAATTTCAGCGCTGTAAGTTGCTTCAAGTTGCTTTGACTGACATTCTTCACACTTTTGCTTGCTTTGGAAGGCAGAAGTGCAGGGGAGCATCACCACTGGTCCTTAAATGATTTTTTCTGACTTCATTGAAGACTCTTGGGCACTGGCAATGATTGCCACGTGCTCTGGAAGTCCAGGGAAGGAAGAAGTCTGGCAAGAATGCTGTAGTAGCAGTGCACTTTCAGACAAATATGGCAATGCTAGGCATATGTATAAAGTTTGCACACACACACACACACTTCACAAAGCAAACTTGAAGTCAAGAGTACTTTTAATGTTACAAAGTTCACATCAATGGCTTCCAGCTTCATTGGATTATGACTAATGCTAGTCCATTGCTCCTTTTATTCCAAGACTCCAAGTGAGACAAAACAGAAGGATACCAAGGGAGAAGCTTCGTATTGATCGATGCAACATTTCATGTTGTGAGGGCCTTTGGTGGTAGTGATTAGGCACAACCTACATCTGGTTATGCTATTCATTGAAATGGACATGACAGAGTATAGAACAGGGTTCCTGAATTGATTCAGAGAACTGCTTTAAAAAAAAATTTTTAGTCATTCAAGAGGACTGTATTAATCATGAGAATACGTTGTTATAATTTTAATGCAGCATTTTCTAAATTAATTCTCTCTTAACCTTCTCTCTGCACCAACACAGATCTCAGCTTCTGTATATTAACTCTCCTTTCTTTTCACCACCCTGTAGTATTCTTCATTCTATACATCAGCATATGTTATTATTTGTTTGTATTATTATTACATTTATATCCTGTATCTTCCTCCAAAGGGGTCCAGGGCAACACAGGTCTATACCCCTATCTCAGTTGCTTTCTTTCTTTTTTCCCATTTTTCTTCCTCACATTTTCCTGCGACTCTCAAGAGATGGGAAAGAACTGCAAACAACTAGTATCTGGAATCCTTATGAAGAGCATAGGGACACAGCAGGCTGTCTTATACCAAGCAGAGATTTTTTTCCACTCTTAAATTCATTTTTCCACATCAGAAAAAGAGAAGCTCTCATGAACACTCATCAGCATTTTTGTGTTCATTTTGCCCAGTATATACACGTTTCTGTGGAATTTTGTTTCTGTGAAACAGACATTTGCAAAGCAATCTTCCCCAATGCAATGCATTCTTGTAGGCTGTTTTCACTGATACGTTCATTTCTATGAACACTTTACCAAAGTATATGCATTTTTGCACACGTTACGTGGCTGAAGAACTGCACTGCAAAATTCAGAGAGGTGAATTTTGAGGGATGCCTTGTTTTGGTTCATGTTTTGTTTTGCAAAGTCCAAATTTGATACCTGAAAATGAAAACTGAACCAGCTTCTGCCCATCCCTAAAACCATTGACCCATCTAGCCCAGTATTGTCTATCATGTCTGGCAAAAACTCTCCAGGTTGTCTTCCACCCCTACTTGGAGATGCCAGGAATTGTACCTGGGACCTTCCAAATGCACATATGAACAGATAGTTAGAGAGAGAAATTATTTAGATTGCCCAGGCCTGTATAAGAAACAATAATGTGTTTATTTACTAATTTATTTTCATTGTAAGGACTGACCCATGGAAAAAATTGTAGTCTAACCAAACTAGGAAAGGGAACCCCTGAATCTGCTTGAATTAATCACATAACATATTTGTTAGAAGCTTGAAAACTCAGCAAGGTCTGTCTATTCACATGATATGAAAGAAATCCTTAAACAGCAAGGAAGAGGGGACAAAACTTAAGGATGTGTTGGCCATGTTTGCACGTTTGAAGCCTACACTGTTACAATATTTTATTTCCAAATACCATGCAAGAACTGATTGTTTTGGAACTTGTTTCCAATGCAAGCATTCAACACAAGCCTTTGACAGGTGAAGAAATAATAGAAGAAGGTAGCTCTTTTCACATGGTTAGAAGCCATGCAGGCTGAATGCATAAAGCCTGCTTGTGCCTGTTGTTCTTACTCCTGACCACCACACGTTCAATGGTTCTGTGATGGCCTTGATGCTTTAAAGTGTTTTGTTTTGGTGTTGATTAATGATTTCATGGGCAAGACTGTTAGGCATATGTGCCTTTGTGTACATTCTGCAATGAAGGAAATCTGCAGTTATTTTTCTCTAATCAGCCTATGTAGAGGAGGTGGCATATATACTGTTTACTATATAGTTCTCAACCATCTTTAATACGTTGGGCTACAAACAGTGTTTCTACTTAGGGAACCAGTTTCTATTTTTGAATTCTCATAGGGAAAAGTGGCAGATTCATGGTGGGAATTGTGCTGTTAGCATCAAATATTACTCTTCATATACTACTTCCTTCTCTTTATAGATTTTAGTGAATAAACTGGGGATTTATGCATGCTGCTTGAAAATGAAAGGGTTCCTCTTCTCCTTTTACATCTACTTTGATGTTTATACAGAGGTTGGGTTAAAAAAAAAAAATTAAAATGGTGCAAACAGCCCAAGTATGATATCTCCAGGAATATCCAGGTGCAATTAGTGTTCCTAGATCTGACGCTGGAAAAAACACCATGTGTTTTAATGAGAGTAGATCCTACACAGATGTTAATTGCAAATCTACTTTCAGTGATTAAGACTGAAATTAGAAAATGCGACCTCTCTCTCTTAGCAGGAGGCAGATTTGGATGCAAACTCTCTCATTATTTGCTTAGCTGGGACATCTGTCTGCTGCATGTATATAATTAATGTTGCCAGAGAGTATGCGGCTGCACATTCTCAGTGCAAAACTGTGGACAGATGTGCTTGATAAATAGAGGTTCTTAATGTCACTGGATTCTAACAAAAGCTGGTGTCTGGCATGGAATAAGAGGAAGCCAACTAATGAAAAATGACCCAAAATATGACATCTCATCTTAAACATTTCAGCTGAATTCTCTCCAGTTTTACTGACGTCATGGGATATCATATATCCTGATATTCCAAGAAAATGAATAGTAGACTGCTATCTACTGTTTGTGGGAGGTGTTTTTCCAGTTCTATTTTCAGCTTAAAAGCCAGCAATTTTCTACTAAAGTTGGTCTGTCTTTTTTAAAAAAAACAACCTATCCTGTCATAGTTATTGCAATCTGGCATTGCAATAGAGTATAGCTACTACACCAGCACCTGCAAGCTTGTTCTGCATTTCAGAGTCTGCAATAAGATGGCATTTTCTGTCCGGATCTTTTGTTTCGTGTGCTTCCCACACATCATAGTGTCTTTACCCCTTTCCATTTGGATGAAATCTGACCGCAAGGTAGAGCTTGTGGCTATGCCTCATCATGTCACTGCATTGTATGCTTGGCGTGCAGCATAGCGTAGCAGTAAAACAGCCCACATCCAGAAAGTGCTTTAGAAAATGTGTTAATGGTGTCAGCATGTTAAAATATGTAGTAGGCTTAAGACAGCTGTGTAGGATGGTTAAAGCACTGCTGCATTCTTTTTCTGTCACCCTCCACACAGGTTTTTTTCTGGTATGGGTACCTGCTTTTAACATGTGGACGTGCATACAAATAAAAAAGTGACAGTGTAGCTCATGCTCTGCAACGGGCCATTTGGATTATAGGCATTGCCAAGATGCTTGGTTTTGTTTTTTAAGTAGTTGCAAACATTGTGGTGTAAAGCTTGAACAGCAGACCTTTGGTTCAGGGTTATTCCATATGAAGAAAGGCTGTAGCTCAGTGGTAGAGTATCTGCTTTGCATGCAGAAGGTCCATGGGTCAATCCCTGGCATCCCCAGGTAGAGTAAAACCCTGTCTGAAACTGTGGAAAGGCATTGTTGCTGTTGTTTTAATTTATATACCACCCTATACCCAGAGGTCTCAGGGCAGTTCACAGAACAATCATGGTCATTTGCTGGGAGAAAGCATGCCAGCAACATAGCTAGCTAGAGGATGAAGTGATACCATGGTTCCTAGGTCAGTGGTTGGCAGATGACTGAGCAGGTCAAACGATGTTCCACCTGGCCCTATAATGAAGCTTCAGACTCTGGTGTGATTCCACATTCTTTGCAATATGTACCCTTAATGACCAAGCTGCTCAAAGGCTGCCCAGGCTGCCCAGTGCTTACATGGCCTTTTAGGGCTCACAGGAGTTTGGGAAGAAAGGATTCCACCATTTGCTGCAGTTTGACCCATGGCCCCTACTGCCAGACACTTTCCATCCCTTCCTTGGGACTCTTGCCTCTGTCCCTGCTTCGTCATCCTCCACAGTCACTCAGTTTTGATTCCATATGTAAGCTGGGCTGGTTGCTTCTCAATTCAGTTCAAATCATATTCATATTTCTTTGCTTTCAGGCCAGTGAAGCAGGACTAGTGATGTGAGGTGAGAATATTCTCCGGAGAATATTCTTGAGAATGTTCTCTGCTAGAAAATTCTCTGGAGAATATTCTCCACAAACAGTAAATTCTAATGTAAGAACCAGTTTTACAAAAGTGGATGCGGTGGTTTGGTGGAAGGGAACATGCTTTGGTTCAAAGCTTAGCAGAGTAGCTGTGAACATTTTGAATATGCCACTAACGACAGCTGCAACAGAACGTAGCTTCAGTACTTATGGAGTTATTCATTTAGCAAAAAGGAATAGGTTTACTGTAGACAGAGCAGGAAAGCATGCATATGTAGCTCATAGCTTACAACTCCTAGAAGAGAACACAGCTTCTAACAAGCTCATTGAATTTTACACAACCATCAACTTAATTCTATCATCTCGCAGATGATCAGTGTGGAACTGAAAGCTCTGTTACCAGTGGAGACATAGATGGTGACTTATCCTCTTAAGATGTTTGAGGAGTCAATATAAATTTATAAACATTTGAGACTTATTACTTAAAGCCTATTTTTTTAAATAAATTTCTTTCTTGTGACAATTTATCAGATATAATTTAAATAAGTTGTGTGTTGCCTTACTTGTCTAAGCAGATAGTAATTTGCGTTCCTGATGTTATGTAACTTGTCATTACTGATTATTTGTGTTTTATTTTCTGGAAATAATAGCATTTATTTTTAACTTTATATTGACTTTATTAGTGTTGCACTGAAAATACTGTACCATGTAGATATGCTTATTAAAGAACATACTCATGTAGCAGACCTGAGTATTTTTATATTCCTTTTACTTTAAAAGCTGTATTTCATACATACACAACATAATGAGAGTTCAAAGTTGATGGTAAATATATGGTTAGTGACAGACTTAGTGATTAACGTGAGTCATTCACATTGAATTTTCAGTTTCAAGTTTGGTGCAGAAAAATCAAAGAATGTGAATTCGCTGCATTGCCCCACTGAATAAAATTATCTGTTCAGTTTTTGGTTGCCATCTGAACAAGTTTACCCATGAATATTATGTATATTAATATACATAATATACATGTATATTAACATATCATATCATTTCCAATGCATTAAAATTATATCATTTCCAATGAATTAAAATGAATATTCTCCTATTTTAAATGAAAACTCTCTAATATTCTCATTAATCTAGGATATTCTCGAGAATATTCTCCAAAAGATTATTCTTGAAAATTTAACATGACTAAGCAGTAGTCTTGCTTTGCCTCTATCCTTGGTTTATGGTGTATTAGTCACACAAATAGGTCTGAGGTGAGGGAGAGGAATGATGAAATGGCTGCTTATATCATAAAGGCAGAGGCAGCTCCCTAAATCAAAGGAAAATAGCAGCACTCTCTGGTGCAGTTCCTGGAAGAAAGGGGTCTTCAGGAGTGCCCTCAGGTGCGCACTTTCCCAAATTAACTGGCACTTTCCCTTCCCTCTCAGCTTTAAAGGTACCCCTCCTGCCCATCCGAGCAAATCAGTTCAGGGGAAGAAAATAGACAGGTTCGTTTGGCCATTATTATTAATATTGACAAATTGCATTGCTGCATAATATAAAGACAGCATGTAATCATCGGCTGCAGTGCAACACAGTTTAAAGTGCTCTACAATGCAGTGGATTGTAGGTACGATCCTGGTCCCCCATACCTGAGAGTAAGCTGCATTTCATTCAATGGTATTTCTGAGTAAATGTGGTTAGGACTGAGCTTATAAAAGGAAAAGAACTGGTGACCCCAAAAAGGAGACGATAGTATCAACTTGTTACTACCAGTAAAGGGTTCACATCATCTAGAGAATCAGTTCTTTTAAAGGTGCATCATAATTGTTTCCCCCTCTCCCCCAGCATTTTATCAGTGCATATATGTGGATCAGTGACTCAGAAGGGGCGTAAAAATGAAAATGAATTGAAGGAACAGAAAGCCGCAACTCACAGTACATGCTCCAAATCCAGAGTTAACTTTCAAACTTCTCCTGAATTCTACTAGAGGATTTGAACAAAGGGCAGAGCAAACCACGGAGTGGAACGTGGGAAGTCTTCTCACCCCTATATTTTACAAGCTTTGATTAAAATTCTAACCTTTGCCATATAACATGGAAAAGGGGAAGTCCTCATACTATGTAGTAGCTGCCATATTGTTGTTTTAATGCTCTAGGCCAGGGGTAGTCGTTGTGATGCGCTCTAGCTGCTGTTGCACTCCAGCTTCCTTTCATCCCTGACCATTAGCCATACAGTCTGGGGCTGTTTGTAGTCTAACAACATCTGGAGGGCACCCCTACTCTAGACTAATGGAGATGAAGGCAGGCAGCAAACAAATTCTTGAAGTAGAGGAAGACAGCAAAGGTCGTAAGTGACTTTGTGGGTCGTAAGAATCAGGGCCATCATGTCCAATAAAACATGTTGCAACCAACTTCTGTTATATGCTGTCTGGAAAAATATGCTGTCTGGAAAAATATGCTGTCTGGAAAACAGTAAAGCAGTGTTTGCATTGTATTTATTATATATAACAATTCATGTTTTTAAGTTGTCAGATTTTTTAAGTGAAGCATTAAGGCTATGCATTGTGTTGAGTAACTTGAGGAATTAAGGCCTATGGGAAGTGCAGGATCAGGCAGCCAGCGATCTGCCATTAGATCCATGCATTTATTCCCCCCCCCATGCTGTCCCCCTCACCCTGTTGTTTATGCAATTAGTTATTATAATCTCTCCATCAACAGGTTCGTGGCATATTATTTTATAGCTATTAAGCAGCACACTTCCTGCTGAACTTAAACTTGATAATGCCTCAGTAGCAATTGCCTAGTGAATGGCAGGAGATATAGGACAACTTGCTATTTTTGTCTTAAGACTCACAATTTATCATTTTGTGATTGAAAGCCGTATTTTTTTCCCCCACCCACTAGTACCGTATCTTAGGGGAGGGTTGTAGAAGGGGCGTGTGGGAAGCAAACCCACCAACATTTCACTCCGCTACTTCCAGAATCAGGAGAAATTGAAAGATTTGTCTTACCTGCAGGGAAAATCGTGGGGCGGGGGGGAGAGAGAGCAAGAGAGAGCAAGAGCCCCCTTCAGAGCTGGGGATTATGGGGGGTGGGACCTTACATTTTGTTTTGTTTTTTAATCTCACAGCCTATTCAATAAATGATGACAGGCACACTCAAGTCCATTAAATGAATGGCTTTAGGTGCACGTAACTCTACAGGAGTTCTTGCTGTGTCAAGATGGTTGTTAAAACTCTTGATAAAGGATACCCCCACAAAAAATGGGCTTACAATAAATTGTATTTTGTAGCACCTGGAGTCCCCCCACCCCCACTTTTTGCACTTTCTGCATAAGAATGGGATGTGAGACTACATAGAAATCAAGATAATTATTACTTCTTAGAGCCTAAGCCTCACTGGCATAAGCGAGACTTCCTTCCGAGTAAAACGGTTAGCATTAAACTGAAAAGCTGCCAGCCATGCTCACTCCTCTGATTAGATCAGAGGTTTTCAACTTTTGGGGTCCATGGCTCCCTTGATTAACTGCATTCTTTCTGCGGCACCCCTATGGGGCTCAGGAGCCCAGTTATGGCACCCGTTGCCTGCAGAGATAGCAGCCCCTCACACTTTTCAAACACCCTCCCTTGTGGAGTGTTCCCTCAGTCTGCTCTCTTCTCCCCTCTCTTTGGAAGTCCTCTGGGCAGCTGCAGATGCCGCCCCTGGTCTCTGAACTGCCCCCCTGCCCCAAAGAGAGGTATCTTCTCACACAGGGGTCTTGGTAGGACCCCCTGGCCAGCCCCAGAGGCACAATTCACCTAGGGAGCTTGTAGTCAGAGCTGCTGCAACAAGTAGTGTGCAAGTCTTTGGGAGGCAGAGATGTGAGAGGGCATCAGAGGAAGGGAGGGAAGGAGAGAGGGACAGAGGCCAGCGCCCCTGACCATCATTCAAGGTACCACAGGGCACACTGGTTGAAAACCGCTGGATTAGATATATTGGGGCTCCTCCGGAGAAACTACCTGTTTGCTGAACATTCATCCTGATTTAGAATCAGAATTGTAGAGTTGGAAGAAACCCTAAGGGTCATCTAGCCCAACCCCCTGCATTGTAGGAAGCGCAGCTAACACAAAGTTTGTGCAGAGTTTCTATGGTGGTCTTAACTGAACTTCCATTCTTACTTGTTTGCAGGGCAGTTGTACTACCGTGAACATTTATCTTGATTTGCTTGCAGGGTGTTTATACATCTTCCCATCAATTGTTTATTCATCCCACACTTTTCTGTGCATTTATCTGTCAGTCTGTTAACCGCAAAAAGTCTCTGTTTTTCAAGTGGATTTGTTGCACTAGGGCAGTGGAACACTTTTAAATGTGCAAACCTAAGTTTACGATATTTTGCTGAATGCCTCCTGCAAAATAGTGACAGTTGG